GGAATCCAGCTCTCCAGCCAGACAGCTGACCCTTCTCCTATTAGACCCTGACGACACTGGCTAGTAAGCCCCTTCTCAGGGCCTCATCACACAGTGGGGAGGAGAGGCGACCTCTCCTTTCTTACGAAGCTGTGTGCTGTCTCTCAGTTTGGAGTGATCTCCCCAAGCCTGGACCATCTTTCTCCGCACATCCATAAAACAACAAATTTAAGTGCAGCTGGGCACAGGGGGTCAACGGGGCTGGATACCCAGGGGCAACCAGCAGAAGCAAATGCTGCTTCTATCTGGAGCAAAGGGATCAGAGGAGGTCAAATGCTAAAGAGCAAGGGTAACACCATATTGTCAGGGACAGCTGGACGGGGACACTGCAATGGAAAGGTCAGAACGAACTGGTGGTAGTGAAAATCTGCCTCTACGTCTCTAATGCTGTAGCTACAGCAGGGAGATGGGCCCAGCGATTCGAACGCCACTCTTTATTCCACAGTGTTTTTAGGGTGGCCAAGCCCCACTTGTGTTTTGACTTGTTTTATTTTGGGATCCTGGCACAGTTACACTTCACATCTCAATCGCTGTAATTACTTTGAAGGGAGATTTAATCCATCCACATCTAATGCTTGCAAAACTAAATTTCAATCGTTTTCCATTTCAAAAAGCCAGGGTATTTTTAAAACATCTATATTAGAGCCAAGAAACTAAGTAAGACCTCAGGTCAGACCTCATGAACATTAAAATGTTCATCTTCTAAAAACTCTTGATTCATATAGTTCTACTGATTTTTTTCCCCAATCAGTGTGAAGGTTGTACGAACTCATAACAACATTAAAAAAAAAAAACCTAAATCTGAAGACCACCGGCGTGGGACCTTAAACCTACTCCTGGAAAGGATGCCTACTGATGGCCAGCTGAGCTCCCTGACTGGCTCAGATTTCCCCAGTGATCGTGGAGGAGGCAAGTCCTCCAACAGGGCAGAACGGGGAGAGAGGGGAGGGAGGAAGGGAGAAAAACACATGCGTGCTAAAAAAAAAAAAAAAGTCCCCTAAAAAAGCTGAGCATTTAAACTGCTTGTCAGCCAGCTCCCTGACAAAGCCACTGGAGTGCATTCACAGGCATTTGCATAAATGCTGCCGGTGAGTTCACCATGGCTGCTAGCGCTAATGGTACATAAAGTAATTTAGTCACTTCTCCCGGCATTCTATGTCAGAATGATGAGCACCGGCACTTTGCCTTGTTGCATATTAGATCATTAGATAATAAAGTGTTAGCACATGCAAGCTGACAGGGTCCCCGCACCGTAGGTTTGTGAGGGCACCGCACTTCGCCACAGGGGGAAAGAAACAGAGAAACTGATGCCACGATCTGCCTTCACGCAAGTAAACACAACCCGAAAGGCAGGAGAACGATGAGAACACACTCCCCAAGCCCCTTGGAGACCCTGAGCACACAGTCCCCAGGAATCTGCCCAAGTGATGGGAAGGCGGGACGCGCCCGCAGGCTGAAGCCCTGCATTCCCCATTGGGTGGGGTCAGCTCTACATCTTTGGCCCCAAGCTTGTTTTTCAAAAATCAGAACCCTGAGAGCAGTTAGGCTCTGAGGCTACCTCTCTCCACAACGGTACATCTTCCATAAAGCTACTGCTTATAGAGGAAACCTCACTGGCCTAAACTCTCTCATAAACATCCAGCCAAAGAAAATCTCAGTATTTATGAATGAAGAAAAAAATAGGGGAGAGCAACTGCCATGAGCTACCGCGTGCCAGGATTCACTGTCTGGACCACACAAGTGTCTATGAGACACATTTGCCTTCGTCAACTCTCCTGCTTGGAACACAGGGACAGTTATTCGAGCACAGAGGTTTGCGAGTCCGTGGGGTCACATAGGCAAGACGGCGTGAATGTGAAGCGTGGTCTCTGTTTCTCTGATATGCAGGCAGATGAGCCACGAAAGAGAACTCTCCTCCGGCCATCTGACAAGGGGAATACAACTAGGGGTGTGCAGAAGAGCTCAAAAGAATTCAGGCTACCTGTAAGTGAGATGGTAAAAAGCCCCAGATGAGGGAAAACGAAGGCTGCCCCAGGTCACCTATGAGGTGGGGTGACTGTGGGGTCTCCCTGTGCCGTGGGGGCGGGGGAGGGAGGGGCCAAGAAGGGGACGTGGTTCTGAGCATCCCAAACGGGGCAGTTTCCAACAAAATTCTTCAACGGAGAGATGAAGTATTACCCTACCCTCAGATCGACATGAATTAGCATCCGAGTCCACTCCCACACATCCCCAGTGACAGAGCCCACAGTCACTCTCTGCTGAGTAGGTATTTATGCATCTCCCTGAAGTGTCTCAATGAGTGTGGGTGGTTATGCGTGGTTGGTTGATTCATTCTGCAGAGAAGCAGATTTCCACACTGTTGTTCTTACTAAGAACCTCAGAGTGTCTGCTTTTTTATTCTTCTGGGGAGCAGTGAAGTCAGGTTTTGGCAAGAGGGAGGAAACATGGCTGAAGGAGACAGGCTAGACCCAGGTCCCGGGGATAGTTGACCACGAATCAACAATGAAGTGTCATCGCTCTCTTGAATAAGATGGCAAGAAGAACATGGCCATTTGTGGACTGGTCAACTGGAGCAGAGGAATAAAACGTTGTCTTTAAAACTGAGAATAAAATGATTGCCCAACTGCACTATTATAACATGCCCAACTAGAAGAGAGACAATTTGAGCTGGGAGGCAGCTTAGAGATGTTTTGATCCAGAAATCTCAAACTGTGAGCCTATGGCTGTCTTCTTCCCAAGTGACTTTTCCCTGCCTGTCTTCCCTTTAGGGGCTAAAACATTTGTAATCTAGTTACCAGCAATTAAAAAATTGGAGAGTTCTCATTCTGGCCAAACTGGGACATCTGGCCCCCGCGGGCTCTCCCTGACCTCGGTGACAGCTGCCTGGGGCTGGGGTGGCCGGCCGAGCATGAACTCGCCCGTCTTCCGCAGTCTCCACCCAGCCCACTTCTGCTTTATACGTGACCTGCCCTCACCCAAGGTACACATTTTTTTTTAAACCCCCAACAGATCATCACCTTCATTTTGCCAAGAAGGCAACTAAGGATTTCAAGAGGTAAGGTGACTTGTCTAAGGTCACACAAAGGCCAGAGGTGAAACTCAGCTGAAATTAGGTTCCCCGGCTCTTATTTCAAGGTGCCTTCCTCCACATCACAACATAAAATAATGTTCCTGACCGCCATTCCCTGGAAGTGTCCTGGCTGGTAGGTTGTTTTTTTATTGGTTTGTGTTGGGATGTTTTTGGTGGAGGGATGACTTGCATGATGTCATTTGCTCTCCTGCTAGCTTCCCAAGGGCAGGAATGAGAGCTGGGTGGGGTCTGCACTTGGGGCACATGTTGAACCTGTGAACCCACAACGGTCAGCTACCCAACTGACAGGCAAGTCTGTTCCCAGGCAGGACAGTATCTAACCAGCCACAGTCGAAAACAAGACTTCAGCTGTCACGCTCTCCAAATTGTATCCACTCAGTATTTACCTATTTTTTTACCCTTCTTCCTTCCACCTCAACATCTCTAATCATGCAATGCCTGAAGTGACTCCAAGGGTATTAAAAAGGCACCATTACTGTAAAGTGAGGATCAGAATAATTTTAAGTGCAGCAATGGAACTCGGAATGTAATCATGAGCAGGTGTTTCAAATGGCCTCCTGCAAAAAGTAATATCCATCCATCTCCGCACTAATGAAACCATAAAGAAGCAGCTTTTGAAAGATGATGGTTTACTTTAAAAAGACTGTAAAACTGGATGTGGCAAAGAATCCCTTCTACGAGTCTTACATCTGGCTAATTAATAAAAAGTACAGTTTGTATATTCCTTAAGTGCAGGACAAAAAAAAATCTGGCAAAAATGATGACAGTGGAGAAAGAAGGTTTCTACCTTTTGAACTAGATCATAAGACAGCTCATAGCACATCGGAAAACCAGGCAATCAGGTGGTAATTTGTGTGGCAGTGTTTTTAAAAGAATCTCGATGGCCTAGCAAACTGGAAAGTGAGGTGGGGAAATGACTTGAGTTTAACTTGAGGAGATTGGGGAAAATTGAGCATGGTTGATTGGTATCCTGTAGCATGCCAGTCACTGTTTCTTGGGTGGATGGATGGATGGATGGACAATGGATGGATGGATGGATAATGGATGGATGGATAGATAATAGATGGATGGATGGACAAATAGATGGGCAGATGAATAGATGGGTTGATGAAAGGACGGACTGATGAATGGATAGACAGATGGATACATTATATATACATGTAGCACTGAAACATTTGGCATAGGCTCAATCCAACCTATGGTTCCTCTGAGCAGCATTCACTTCCCTTGGTTCAAATTTTTATCTGATTTCCTCTCGTCCTCTCAAAGACACAACTGATTAGCCATAAAATCAAGATAAATGTGATTTCTATCCACCAAAGTCTACCTACAGAAAGCAGGCTGCATCATGTGGTGATGAGGGGAGGGGTGTGCACTGGGCATGGAAGGGACAGTTAGCTCAGACTGTATGCTCAGAGAACACCTCTGACCTAGACTTTGTACCTTATCTCCAAGTGAGGGTCAGAATGTAGTCACAGAGACACACCAGCAGGAATGCAAAGACGGTGAAGTTCATTACACAACCAATCAGCTCTAAACTCAAAATATGTCGTGATGTGTGCTGCTCTGCTTTGGCCTTTCTTTATTCTTTAATCCAGTGAGCGCTTCAACTAAGGCAGTGGTCCAGCCTCCCTCGGTCTCTCAGCCGGAAGGGAGGAGGCATGAGCCATTTTCAGGGTGGAGGGTTGCACAACGAGAAGCACTGGGCCTCCAAGACATCTTCCTGCCTTTAAATACTCAGCACCCACGTTGTCCAACAGGACATTCGGAATTTGAAAAGGGGTAGACAATGGGGTGGAGTTGGAAGAAAGAAACCAAATAAATGCACAGTTAAAGTAGCAATGCCAACCAAGGAAAATGATTCGCCTACCATGTTCCAGATAAGAGGGCGTACCTTCCGAGGGGTCAAGCCTCCGAGCCCTCCGCCCGTGCTTGGAGTTATTGTGGACAAACATGTTATCAGAGACTGCCAGGACATGGCCATCCACGTTGACTGTTGTAGACACCACGACCTGGAGACGGAAGAGAGAAATGAATGAACATTTTAATATAAAAGCACGGAGGGTAATAAACTCAAGTTAAATAAATAACAGCTGGGAGCTGAAGAAAATTGCGTAGCTATTTCACATAATAACTGGTGCTTATGCTGTACAGATCTAACAAGAGGAGCTATTGATGAGTGGGGCTTTGGCATGGAACGCTTTTGATGCAGTTTTAAGTAAAATTGCACAGTTTATAGTCATACAGCAGAAGGTACACTGTTAACCATAATTTTAACAAGAGGATCTTTATTAGCATATTTTTTTTTTACACAAGGGTGGTTGTGTTTCACCTAAATTACCCTACAGTTTAGACACTGAAGCAGATATCACAGTTGATAATGCAAATAAAAGTCTTTTGAATCTTTAAAATATTCCCGTCCTCACCCCCCAACCCCCGCCCTCCACGGTGTCTGGGTTAAGAGGACAGAGAAATGAAAAAAGAGAGGTTTCAGTAAGAGCTGGGATACGGCTTTCTGTCCTGGGTGTCTTTTTTGGGGGAGGTTCTTGTACTTTTCCCTTCCCACGTGAGCTCAGTTAATCAGACATCAGAGCAAAGCTCTTTTCCCCACCATCACCGCCACTACCACCCCAAAATCCTCGCTAATTAAGGGTGGTGTTAAATCTGTGTTTCAAAGCCAAAACATTTTTTTAAAAAATTTTTAAAAAGGGTAGCCTTGGCCCAAGGAACAATTCAGATCTCCTCTGGCCATCTCAATAAACTGAACTGAGTTTGCCAAGGAGGGACACAGGCAAAGGCGTTTTCGCAGAGAACTTTGACTAAAACAATGAGAAGGAATGACCTACACTTCTCCTTATATTAAATGGGGAGGAGGATTAAAAGTGAAACCCACAGAGATATGTTTATTCATGCGACCTCTTACAACCAAATATAATAATTGTCTGTAATTGCGGCTTCGCCCCCCCACCTCATGCTTTGACAGAAGGAACAGCAATCAGCCGGCTCCCGTTTAATCCACCTATTATGTTGACTAATTAACTTTGCTCGACAGTTTATTTCTTCCTCCATTATCAGCCCCTGTCAGCCGCGAGCACCCCGCAGCATAGGGGGGACCTCAGGCTCTTTGATTGATCACCGATAGATTGACATGCAGATTAATTTAATTAGAATCACCTCACTTGAGAAATGAAAGACAATGGCAAGAGGGCTAATAGACCTGCTCTCATAATGAGGCGGGCCTCCAGAGCTGAGGCTGAGGATTTCTGATTTATTTTTGCTCAATTCCCCAGGTGCTTGGAAAGACTCTGGCTTTAATTGTTCTTCGTTTTGAGAGCCTTTAGCCCCTGAAGAGGTGAACCGCTCTGCAAGGATTGGCACATGCTGAGGCCCCAGTTTCTGAGGAAGCATTTTCTCCAAGTTGGGGAAAGGGGGCCCTGACTTGGAGCGTCTTGTGCAAGGCTACGATCTCCTCACCCGAGTTGGGCAGAGGGGAGGACGCTGGGCCTGCGAACTGCAAGCCCTGCGTGGAGAAGCAGCCCCCTCTGTCGACCCCCCACCAGTGTCTGTCTGCCAGACCGAATGCTCCCACTGTCCCTCTCTTTGACCCAGAGGCATCCTGGAAAAACATGAGAGGTTCCCTGCCCCCTGCCTCCAAGATGGCAACCAAATCGGCTTCTTTCTTTTTCCCTTCTGGGCCCTCCCTCTGCGGACCTGAGGCCCCGCTCCTTCTATCCAGGCCCTGGTCTTTCTTGACCCAGATGCGGAAGCCAGGAAGCCACGCCTGTGGTCATCTGCCCTGGGGTCTCCCAGTGATGACTGCAGCGGGGGGCGGGCCCTCTGGGGGTTCTCTCCATCCTCCCTCAGGGTCCCCACCTTGACCCCCCTAGCAAGATCCAGGCCCTCCCCACCCCATGTTATTTTTTAACTCTATTATATGGAAAAGCAAAGTGAACAATTAAGAGAGCCCATTCGGGGACTCAGAGTATTCTGTTAGTAGTCACTCTGAAACTCAAAATTCCAGCCAGGGCAAGTCATTCATGGAAGGACCCAGTAAGTTCGAAGCAGCAGTTTGCAAAGTGGTTTTTTTTTTTTTTTTCTCTTTCTTCATGATTGACCAACCAGATGTGACAGCCTGCAGCCTCTGCGTGTGCTTCATCCATTGCAGGTGAATTTACAAGAAGGAGGGAAGGAGGAGGAGGAGAGGAGAAAGCCCTCCATTCTTTTCTTTTCAAAAAGTGCTCTGAGCAGTGGCAGACTCTGTCTTATTTAAAGCAATGGAAACTCTTCTTTTTCAGTCGAGGAGAGGACTTCCTGGGACATCTACAATTATGTAACAGAGCTGGGTCTTTCAAAGAGATTTTGATTTACTACACGACCACAATTGAGTGGTCACTGGAGTCGTTAGCTAAAGAAACTATAAAAGGAATGCCAAACGGTCTCTGTTTCCAGTGTCAGGAAATACAGAAAGTGGTTATTCTAGATGTCTGTCTTAAGAAGAAAAAAAAACACACACACACAATGACAATCCACCGTGCACCTGTAAGACAGAGTGCTACGGGCTTAAAATATTCAGTATCGTTTAAAGACATTGTCATCTAATTCCACAAATGTCAAAAAACGGTTGAGAAGAAAAAAACTACACCCTGTATGTTTTTCTCTTCTTGGCAAGAGCAGGATCATCACGACCACATGTGTGACAGAATCACTTCATTGAATGACTAATTATAACGGAAGAAAGATGACACAGAGAATCCTCATGCCTTTAATTTCTAGAAAATAAACACCTAATATGTTCCTCAAAAAACTCTTAGCACAATACATTTTAACTTCCCAACCCCAAATAATTTCTCTCATTCCGACTTGCAAATGACCAGGATATAGTTAAAAATAAATGCTGAAATTAATCCACAGAACAACTTGCAAATTAAACGAAAAAATACCTAATGGTGAGATGCAAAGGGGCACTGAGAAGTCCTTTAAAAATAAGCCTATAGTGGGAGGGAAAGAGGCCTTTACAGTTTAACACAAGATTAATGAGGTGCTGACACATTCATGCAGGCAAGGGGACGGGCAGGCCTGCCAAATCTTCAACCTTCCCAAATTTTGTCAACAAAACCCAGCTTGAACCTGGGACAGATAAACATGGAGAGTGATTTTACGTTTGGGCTCGACCACCCCTTCCCTTTCTGCCCTCCTTCCTCACACCCCTGGCCCAGAGTAAGGCGAGGAACAGGTATGTATTAGAATTTTACTCTCTAGAATTGCACGGATACGGTAACCACGTGTGTGGCTATTTAAATTTAAACGGGTTACGTACTTTCAAAATTCCATTGTTCCCGAGTCTCCATAGCCACATTTCAGGTGGTCAGTGGCCACGTGTGGCTGGAGGCTACTATACTGGGCGGGACAATTAAAGAACATTTTCATCATTGCGGAAAATTCTACTGGACAGTGCTGCTATGGGAGGGTTCTGAAACAGAATGTTCCAACTTATTGGAGGGGTGTGGCTTTTTGATACCGCAATCCAGAGATGTGCAGATGAACACCCCGTGTGTTTCATGGTATCTTCTCTCTGGTCCAACCCTCCAGGTGCGGGTATCCAGTGTGAGGGGTACCAAGGGCAGAGCACAAGTCCACAGCTATCCACGGACTTCAGAGATTTTACACTGACGTTTTTGATTTCTAGGCGCATCCGTGGTTCAGAATTTGCTCTGTTACATCCTGGATCTAAATATCCTGAAAGACGATAATTTTTACTATCTACCCCCATCTATTTAGAATTAGAATTCAGCCTAAAATGTATGCTCCTTGACTATCTAGCTTTCCTAGTTGATGAGACTTTTAACTTCTCTAAGCCCCAGTGTCCCTGACTCCCAAATGGAAATGATAATAGTACTTAACTCATAAGGGTTCTGTGAGGCTTATGTTATTTAAAGTGGCCACTATGGCTCTTGGTTCTTCTAGAGCAAATGTCAGCAGTCGTAGCAGAGTTGCTGCTTTGCTGGTGATGCACCAGAAAGTTGGAAACAGTGTGTTGGGCTGATAATTGGAAGCCTTTTAATTGCCATAAAGAGGACCCAGCATAAACCGTTATTCTAAATAAAAGGATAGAGAAATTACGTCTTCCATGTTCCCCGCTTGATCAGTCTAACCATGAAATCTTACAGATTTAAAGCCCTTTGTGTTCACGACATATAATTATATAATTTAGGTCTCTTGTGAATTGCAAATTTCACTGGTTTATGTAATTTTACTTTCTGTAAACCATCTGCCTATTAGCCTGTTACATCCTAGGCTTGAAATGAAATGAAACCTTACTGCTTTGAAACCAGTCTGTACATTTTCTGTCTCTTCTCAATGTATTCTAGTTTTCTCAATGCTTCATATGGATGAGGGGTCTCTGGTAATTTAGTTATTGGTTAGTATTTCCTCACTATCATTCTTCAGTCCTTCTTCCCTTCCTCTCAAACAGGAGACCTTGTATGTCCCAACTATGTCATCTCAGATTCCTGAAGCATGATCTCTGTCTCATGAGTAGAATTTCAAAACAAACAAACAAAACAAAACACACACAAGCAACTAAATTCAGTCATGAGTGGAAAATCCCATTAACCAAAGTAGCAGCTCATGTGGAAGGAAGGGTTAAGACAAAAGCAACCAAAGAGAGTTGAAATCTATATCTTTAAACATTTCTAGAACAAATATGGAACCAGGGGAAAGACCAAGTCATAAAAACAGTTTCAATATTTAAATCTAGAATATTCTGGTAAGAAGTATCTCCTCTAAAATATGACCATTTTAGCAACTTAATGGTTTTTAATTGAAGTATAGTTGGTTACAATGCGTCAATTGCTAGTGTACAGCACAATGTCCCAGTCATGCATATACATACATATATATTCATTTTCATTAAAATTTATTACAAGATAATGAATATAGTTCCCTGTGCTATACAGAAGAAATTTGGTTTTATCTGTTTTTATATATAGTGGCTAACTAACAACTTAATTTT